AAAAATTTACGGTAGAGTAGGTAAGTAAATATATGGTTGAGCTAATCTTAAAAATGAGTAGCCATATTGTTTCCTGCCTTGTCTTTTTTTTTAATGTTGATTTCCTTCTTTTGTTATTTTAGATTTGTTTAATCAATGATCTTATGCTCAAATGATTTAACATAAACTACTATAATCTAATAATGAGAATCATACTTACTGACTCATTCAATCCTCAGAACACACCTGAAGATGGTTAATTTAATGATACCCTTTTACAGATTAGAAAATTGTGTCATAGAGAGGTTAAATAACTTGGCCAGAGTCAAACTAATAAATAGCAGAACCAGGAATCAAATAAGGCAGTCTGACCCCTGAATAGGGTTTGTAATTAGCTGCAATATGACGGCACCTTTTTTTCATTGTGTTCTTGTTTCTTGCATCACATATTTATATTTAAGTAGGAGTCTTAGTTAGAGGTCTTGACTTAGAAGAGATATAAGTAAAAAAGTGTAAGGTTGAATGACAGATGTCATTTTGAGAAAACAGACATTTACATTTTATATCTTTATTCAGGTGATTTAACCATAGAATGAAGCTCTTTTAGCATTATAAAATCCAATGTTTTAAAATCTTGTTATGTTTGGTAATTCTGAGAAAACAGACATTTATACTCCTCAAATACTGCCATATGGAAACTTAGTGCCTGCCCTAGACAAAGACAAATTTCTAAATTTGTATTGGATTTTTGTGTGGCTGGAAGATAGTGTAGCACATATTTTAGTGTCTATTATTTTATTCCTGTATTCAGTATAAATCTTTTTTTTCCCCCAGGAGTAGTGGGTTTTTTTTAAATTTCAAGATATTTAGGGGGTACAAGTGTTTTTGTTACATGGATAAAGTAAATTAATCTATTCAATATTAAGACTACAACGACAATAATGATAATAGACAGTATAGTTGATAAAATGTAAAGAAAGTTGAATCTTATAGACCGTAAAGTCTGTATAAAATGGGTCCATCACATACTTAGATCCCCTGTGGGATCTAAGACAAGTTAGTTAATCTCTCATAGGATCAATTTCCTCCTAGGCAATTAGGATTTGCAGTGAGGATAAGATATATTCATGACATATAAGACACAATACGTAACTATTTGTGTTACATTGCATATTCTGTCATCAACAAAGGATGATTTAAAATTTTTCCAGTCTGACTTTAATTTAATTTTATTCTACTGTTACAAGTCAATTTTTTTCCTAATAACTTCTGCTGCAAATTATAAACATTTCCATCTAAGGGAAATCTTTTCGATTTTCCCATGCAGAAGCCAACCTTCTCTGCCTCAGGATCAAGAAAAACAAAAACAGGGCTGTTAACAGCAGTCAGGTGCTTAATTTTCTTTTCAGATGACAATTACTTAGGATGATAAAATTTATATTCAATGGCAATTAAATCTTTGAATTAATAAAATCAAGTACACTGTCATAATTCATTTTGGGGCCATATGAAGTAGAATAGGATGAGGAGAAAATTGAGAAAAAGAAAATTAAAATATTTAATAAATGTAGAAAACCTTTAAACCTACTATTATAGTTTTCAAAGAAATGCAGAGTAAAATACTGCCGTGTAATTTTTCCTAACAAATTAATAACATAAAGAAATTCGCATTACTAATGAGGATATAATGAGGCTTTTGTAACATGCTGGTAGAGATATAAATTGTAACACATATGTTGAAAAAAAATAACTAAGTCATAAGCCACATCTTTTCTATCTATTTTTTCCTTTTGGTGGTTTATACTGAGGAAATAATTGTAAATAGAAATGTTATATCAAAGCTGTTGATACTAGTAAAAGACACTATAAATAACAAAAAATGTGAGTTTGTAAATAAATTTCAATGGAATATTACCCAATGCCCTGGATATCTAGGAGTTGTTCTCCTAGAACCACTTTTAATTCTCAGTTCTTCTCGTCCATGTTCTCTGTCCTAGACATCTCAGGCTATGTTTCCCAGTGGCTGACAATTGGATTCGACCAAAGGGAATTCTGTAGGCAACTGGAGAGAGGGAGGAAAGTGATTTGGGTTACCTATTCCACCTGCCCTGTCACTGTGGAGCTACCACAGGTTGGCTGTGATCCTTGGCTGAAGGGAGGTCTCTTCCTTTGACCTTCAGGCCTAGCCGCTGCCATAAGCCTTGGGTTATACTATATTATACAATCCCTTAGGAGTCTCCTACCCATTGTCTGTACCTGTAATTAGTCCTTTCAGTAAAATCTCGTCAAATTATTCTCATTGAAGAGTGTCGTCAGTTTCCTACTAGGATTAAAAATAGAAAATATGTTTACAAAGGTCAATTAAAAAATGTTTAAACTATATTTCGAGTGATTAAGGAGTCCAAAAGTTTATGCCACTTGAACAAAACTATTTAAAAGTGCATATAAAAATGCAAGAAGAGGCTGGGCATGGTGGCTCATGTCTGAGCTAATCCTAGCACTTTGGGAGGCTGAAGTGGGAGGATCACTTGAGGTCAGGAGTTTGAGACCAGCCTGAGCAAGAACAAGACTACGTCTCTAAAAAAAAAAATGGAAAAATTAGCCGAGCATGGTGGTGGGAGCCTGTAGTCCCACTTGGGTGGCTGAAGCAAGAGGATTACTTAAGCCCAGGATTTTGAGATTGAAATGAGCGGTGATGATTCCACTGTACTCCAGCCTGGGCAACAGAGCAAGACCTTATCTAAAAAAAAAAGAAAAAAAAAAAAAAAAACCCAATCCCTGATTTGCAAAAAATGCAAGGAGACAATAATTGCAAATGTTAAAAGTTCTTACATTTGCCTAGCAGTCTTTCAGGTGATTTTGTTGTTCTTTCTTCTTTAGTATTTTCCTACTCCTTTACAACAAACATACTACTTTTTTTTTTTATTTTTTTTATTTCAGCATATTATAGGGGTACAGATGTTTAGGTTACGTATGTTGCCCTTGCCCCTCCCTCCCCCCACTAAGTCCGAGTTTCAAATATGTCCATCCTTCGGGTGGTGCGCATTGCACTCTTTGTGTATGCAAATACCCGTCCCTTCCTCCCTCCTGCCCCCTCCCCCCTACCCCCTACCCAACATCCAATAGATGTTATTTTTATATGTGCATTTATGGAGCTGGAACGCATTCTACTAAGTGAGGTATCCCAAGAATGGAAAGACAAGCACCACACGTACTCACCATCAAATTGGTATTAACTGACCAAACATACTATTTTTATAATGAAAAAGAAATCCTCCAAAAAAAAAAAAAAAAATCCTCCATTAAAATTCTCGCATCGTATAAGTATGTAAAATTTTACTTAGTTAATATTTCAAAAATCCTTTGTCTGGTATTGCTATCATTTCCTTTTTACTTTTAGATTTTCATTTTTGCCTTTCTCCTTAATTTTACATGCATATTTATTTCCTGTTTTTTCTTTAACTGTTTCTCATAGGCCTCTGTTTCCTTTCTTCTTCCTTTCTCTCTAGTCCACCTTTTTTACTCATCCCTCTTTATACTTCTCTTCCTCTTTCTTCTCTTTCTCTTTCTCCTTCTTCTTCCCAATTTTCTGCTCTCATTTTATTCTGTTTTATTCCTCAACTCCACACTAATATCATGTCTTAAACTACCTCCTCTTTCTACTGCTTGACAAAAAGCATTGTGTAGATTTCCTGAATTTATTATGAAAAAAATGTTGTTTGCCCTTAATATTTTGAAAATGGTTTTAATATTTATTATATTTATTTGTGTTAATTAGAATTTATATTTCTCTGTGGCTGTGGATTGACATTTATTCCATGAGTAAATTAATGACTTTTAATTTAAAAGTTAAGATTTAAAATCAACTGCCTCTATAGCCATGTAATTAGTATACTAGTATGCATGTAATTATGTTTTTTCCCTCATTGGTATTGGATAATAAAAAGGAAAAATGAGAAATTACTAGTATATGACACTCACATTGGTGTCTTTAGCTGAATCTCTTCATTTATTCTTTCATTTAGTTGATTGTTTTGTTTTAATACAATAAACCATTGCTCTTTTATAAATGCCTTCACCTAACAGGATAACCTGTATATAGAA